CAAAAAAGTATCCCATAGGGTTAAAAATAATCTTTTTATGCCCCTTTTGAGTATAATACTTCGTAACTACCAACGTCTCTTACCACCTTAGTTACACAGCATCTTTCATTCATATTACTCAACCTTAACATCTTCACTACACTGCATCATACGTAAGCGAACAGGATCTCAATTATATGTGGAAATATACAGGCCTATCCTCATCTCTGTTTTCTTTGTATTAACAAGTGTTTATTATATTCTGATTTTCCTACACAAATACACACAGTCACCTGGAATCTGGGTTCGCCAGCTTGAATATCCAGAAGGGGGGTCCTCAAACTCCTGGAAGAGTGTGACCGGATGCCGAAGAAGGACTGGAAGCCGTGTTTCAGAGGCCCAGGACACGAGCGTCCCATCCAGTCACGTACATACCCAGGGCCACTTACCTGGGGGTGTGGAGGAGGATGTGTTAGTGATCAGGTGTTCTCACCTAATTGTGGTTGCAGGGGTCGATTCATACTCCTGGCCCCGGCCTCTTCATTGGTCACTACTATGTCTACTCTGCTCTATGAGCTTTATGGATCCTGCCTCCACTACATCACTCTCCAGACTTTTCCACTTCCTGACAACTCAAATGACTGAAAAAAATACTTCCTAACATTCCTGTAAATCATCTGACCCTTTCAACTTCAAACTGTGACCCACTGTCTGGAAAATCTCCCAACTCCTGCCCCAAACATCTTACAAACTAGGAGATTTCAACCTGAGACCCCTAAAATGAGAGTATAGCAAACAATGCTTTAACAGAGATCACCCTGGAGGCAGCTCAGATGAAAATTCCACAACACAACTATTAAATCTCTGCAATAAATTCACCTTTTAAAAACCAGAAAATAGTAGAGCCTACAAGACTAGAAAATACACTGGACCTCATCTTCACTAACAATGGACGATCTGATACATAATAAAACTGTATCAAAGACAATTCACTCAGATCACAACATAATAGGGGTACAGACATGTACACAGGCTCCGGACCACAAAATGTGAGCAGTCATGAAGGTCTTTTCACGAAATTCAATTTCAATAACAAAAACATACAATGGGATCAAGTAAACCTTTGTTCTAAATAAAACAGGCGGGGAAGATATCCTAGCAACACGGATCCGAACATTTGCCTTGAAAAAATAAATTATGTGGTTCTTGAGCTCTGCTCAAGACACATTCCATTAATAAAAAGAAAAAAAAAAGATGTAAACTAGAAAGAGAGAGACGTTACAGAGCTGCTGAGTGGGGTCAATATATCTGAAACACAAAGGGGAGCACATGTCAATGAAATTGCAAATATCGAACTTATGCTGAAGGAATCTTATGGGAGACAAGAATCACAGGAAGAACTAAAAGCATAAAGGAAATTGAAAAAAAGAATACTTCTTCTCTTATGCCAAATCAAGGGAAAAACAACATCCAGTATTGGGCCCCTGCTTAGGCGAGATGGGACATACACAGATGATAGCCAAGAAATGAGTGAGATACAAAGTCCCAATATGACTCAGTGTTCAGCGAGCCACTGCCCACCTAAGGGTCGACAATCCAAATGAATTCTTTATGAACGAAATCCAAAATTTGGTCATCCCAAAAATTTCTCGGATATTATTCTAACTCCACAATATTTTGAAGAGGCAATTAATGACATGCCCATGCACCTAGCCAGGCTCAGACTCGTGGAACTCCGTGTTCATCAAGATTGCAAGAAGCCCCTATCGCGTGCCTTCACTTTTTATGGAGAGGGAGCATGGACACGGGGGTCATCCTACAACACACTAAAAACAACAGACATAGCCCCATTCCAAAAAGGGTTTGGCAGAAAAAGCAACTGCAAAGAACTACAGACAGATAGCACTAACATCCCATATCATAAAAATCTTTGAGAGGGTTCAAAGAAGCGCACTAACATCCCATATCATAAAAATCTTTGAGAGGGTTCAAAGAAGCAAGATAGCCAACCACCTAGATACCCATCAGTTACACAACCCAGGGCAACACGGGTTTAGAGCAGGTCGCTACTGCCTGTCCCAGCTACTGGACCACTGTGAAAAGGTCCTGAATGCTGTAGAGGATAAACAAAATACAGATGTAGTATACACAGACTTTGCAAAAGCTTTCGACAAGTGTGACCATGATGTGGCCCGTGGCCACAGCAGTTCTCAGGTATTGAGCTCACCTATTATGCTTACCTGCGTATATGTGTGTACATGTATGCCTGCATATCTTTGTGCATGTATCCATGTGCTTGTGTATACATATATTCCTATGTACATGTGCGTTCAAGCACGTACACGTGTGTATCAGTGTCAGTGGCTAAAAGATGAACAGAGGTGAGAAATCTTTTTCCCTTCACCATTTATCTTAATTGCGTTATCATCCACAAGGTAACACAAAAAAGACAAGATAACTGCTTTAAGAGTTTAAGGATCAGAACTGACCTATTAGAGCGGTGGTATAGTTGGCAGCAGCTAGGGCAGATCCCAGGGTCACTTCGTCAAGGGGTAAAGCTGCCCGGCTGGCTGCGTGTACAATCACTGGCGCCAGCACCGGCGCTTTGTATACCAGACCTATGCAAGCAAACACGCACCAAGGTTAAACATTTTTTAGGCATTATGACTGTAGCTACGGGTATTGCATATAATGTTAACTATTTGAAGCAAAGTATATTTTCATTATGTGATATACTTACACATGGTACATACACCTACAACATGTAATTTACACTTAAAATATGAGATGGAAATTGAACCTAGTCTAGAACCGCTTATCACGTATAGGCTTCATGCAGACACATTGCAATTATACTTCCATTCCTCAGGTAATTAATTAATTTTACGCACTTAGCGCTTTCTAAGAATTTATTAATAATAGTAAAAGTTTCTGAGTCTAGTTAGGTAATTTTAATTTCAATAGTGTAATTGTAAAATGTCTGCCGGACGTTTGTGTGATGGGCAGTTCGATGCCTCAATAATTCTTCCTTCAAATTCTCAAATACAAGACAGTGTGAAATTTCAGTTTGTTAAATGCCTACGAAATGTAACATACACTCACTACTTATATCTGGCATTTTTTGGTATACGAGAGAACCTAAGGATGAGAGCTTACCATAGCGTGCAGGGTACCGGCCAGTGAGCATAGCAGCACGACTCGGGGTGCAGAAAGGTGCTGCTGCCAGGTGGTGAGTCAGTTTGACACCTTCAGTGGCGAGTCTGCAAGATTACCCATGTTGAACCAGCTGCCCTAAATGATGAACCAAATGCCCATGTCTGTTGAACCAGCAGCCCTACATTTTGAACCACTCTCTTCTCCCGACCTGTCTTCTGGTCTCTGGGCTTGACCATGGTCCAGCATGGAACCTAACGTCATGAATCCGACTCATGATAAGCTTGGAAATAAATGGTATAAAACACCGACACAATGGCAATATAAACACAAATGCAGTATAATGTGATCCTTTATTGACTACGTTTCGCCCACACAGTGGGCTTTTTCAAGTCACAAACAGAACTGTTCTGTTTGTGACTTGAAAAAGCCCACTGTGTGGGCAAACGTAGTCAATAAAGGACACATTATACTGCATTTGTGTTATATTTTCATGATAAGCTTCCTCCCCCTAAGGGCAGGTTATTTGTTAAAACCCGCTGGCGTCTGCACTAACACTGGTATCTGTCACTGGGGCTACCCTTCGTCTTCTATGGATCAAACTATTATAATCCACTATCCTAGTCCTCTATGATTCCTACGTCTTTAGCACTACGAAAAATAAAAGTATAATCTACTACACTACCAACGAGAAATAATTAATAATAAACATCAGATATTTTTTAGCCATCCCTAAACACATGCTGCCAAGATGATCATAAGTTTAAGTATGGCATCTACATGACATAGTGAAGCTTTCAGGTCCCTTTAAACCCAGAGGGCCCAAACGACTTACCTGGAAGGTTCCGGGGATCAAGCCCGCGGTCGGTCTGTGACCAGGCCTCCTGGTGGATCAGAGCCTGATCAACCAGGCTGTTAAGCTGGCTGCACGCAATCCAACGTCGAGCACAGCCCGGCTGGGGCAGGTACCGGAAATTAGGTGCTGTCCATGCAGCTTGAGACTGCCAGGGTCTATGGTATCCCCTTATTACAACTGCTCAATGACTGCCTCAATGACGTATGGAATTTTAGCAGTAAAGTCGAGAACCAAAACCTAGTCCATGTGGTAGGGCTAACACCTCCGGATGCACATCCCGCATTCCAGGAACAGCTTTAAAAATTGACCACGTCTGGAAAATCTTCCACTCTCCCCCCAACATCTTGCTCCCTGGGGGATTTTACTTAAGGGCACCTAAAATGGAGGTATACAAAAATATTGTTGCAGTAATAACAAACCCGGAGCACTCTGATGAAAACTCAACTCCACGAGCTTTAAATCTCGCACAAATTCAATTTAAACCACAAATAATAGAGCCTACTAGACTGGAGAATACACTGACCTCATATTCACAACAATGAGATTGATAAAATGTCACCATATCAAAACAATATACTCAGATCAACAACATAATTGAGGTTTAGACAGTATGCGAGGAGCCCAGACCGACAAAATGAGACTATCACAGGGAGCATTCACCAATTCAACTTCATAACAAAAAATAAATGGGACCAAGTAAACCAAGTCCTAACCGATATAAGCTGGGAAGATATACTAAGCAACACAGACCCAAACTTATGCCTAGAACAGATTAACTCGGTGGCACTCGATGTATGCACAAGGCTTATTCCTCTAAGAAAAAGGAGGAGTAGATGTAAAATAGAAAGAGACAGGCGCTCCCTTTACAGGCGACGGAAAAGAATAACAGAGCGGCTAAAAGAGGTCAATATATCTGAAATGCGCAGGGAGACACTGGTCAGAGAAATAGCAAGCATCGAACTTAAGCTAAAAGAATCCTTTAGGAGTCAGGAATCGCGGGAAGAACTAAAAGCTATAAATGAAATCGAAAGAAACCCAAAGTATTCTTCTCCTATGCCAAATCAAAATCGAGAACAACGCCCAGTATTGGGCCCCTACTTAAACAAGATGGGTCCTACACAGATGACAGCAAGGAAATGAGTGAGCTACTCAAGTCCCAATATGACTCAGTTTTTTAGCAAGCCGCTAACCAGACTGAGAGTCGAGATCAAAATGAATTTTTTATGAGCCACAAAATTTGATTAACACAAGCCTATCCGATGTTATCCTGACGCCAAATGACTTCGAACAGGCGATAAATGACATGCCCATGCACTCTGCCCCAGGCCAGACTCATGGAACTCTGTGTTCATCAAGAACTGCAAGAAGCCCCTATCACGAGCCTTTTCCATCCTATGGAGAGGGAGCATGGACACGGGGGTCGTCCTCAGTTACTAAAAACAACAGACATAGCCCCACTCCACAAAGGGGGCAGTAAAGCAACAGCAAAGAACTACAGACCAAATAGCACTAACATCCCATATCATAAAAATCTTTGAAAGGTCCTAAGAAGCAAGATCACCACCCATCTAGAAACCCATCAGTTACACAACCCAGGGCAACATGGGTTTAGAACAGGTCGCTCCTGTCTGTCTCAACTACTGGATCACTACGACAAGGTCCTAAATGCACTAGAAGACAAAAAGAATGCAGATGTAATATATACAGACTTTGCAAAAGCCTTCGACAAGTGTGACCATGGCGTAATAGCGCACAAAATGCGCGCTAAAGGAATAACAGGAAAAGTCGGTCGATGGATCTATAATTTCCTCACTAACAGAAACACAGAGAGTAGTCGTCAACAGAGTAAAGTCCGAGGTAGCTACGGTGAAAAGCTCTGTTCCACAAGGCACAGTACTAGCTCCCATCTTGTTCCTCATCCTCATATCCGACATAGACAAAGGATGTCAGCCACAGCACCGTGTCTTCCTTTGCAGATGACACCCGAATCTGCATGACAGTGTCTTCCATTGCAGACACTGCAAGGCTCCAGGCGGACATCAACCAATCTTTCAGTGGGCTGCAGAAACAATATGAAGTTCAACGATGAGAAATTTCAATTACTCAGATATGGTAAACATGAGGAAATTAAATCTTCATCAGAGTACAAAACAAATTCTGGCCACGAAATAGAGCGAAACACCAACGTCAAAGACCAGGGAGTGATTATGTCGGAGGATCTCACCTTCAAGGACCATACATTGTATCAATCGCATCTGCTAGAAAAATGACAGGATGGATAATGAGAACCTTCAAAACTAGGGAGGCCAAGCCCATGATGACACTCTTCAGGTCACTTGTTCTATCTAGGCTGGAATATTGCTGCACTCTAACAGCACCTTTCAAGGCAGGTGAAATTGCCGACCTAGAAAATGTACAGAGAACTTTCACGCACGCATAACGGAGATAAAACACCTCAATTACTGGGAGCGCTTGAGGTTTCTAAACCTGTATTCCCTGGAACGCAGGAGGGAGAGATACATGATTATATACACCTGGAAAATCCTAGAGGACTAGTACCGAACTTGCACACGAAAATCACTCACTACGAAAGCAAAAGACTTGGCAGACGATGCACATCCCCCCAATGAAAAGCAGGGGTGTCACTAAGCACGTTAAGAGACCATACAATAAGTGTCAGGGGCCCGAGACTGTTCAACTGCCTCCCAGCACACATAAGGGGGATTACCAACAGACCCCTGGCAGTCTTCAAGCTGGCACTGGACAAGCACCTAAAGTCGGTTCCTGATCAGCCGGGCTGTGGCTCGTACGTTGGTTTGCGTGCAGCCAGCAGCAACAGCCTGGTTGATCAGGCGCTGATCCACCAGGAGGCCTGGTCACAGACCGGGCCGCGGGGGCGTTGACCCCCGAAACTCTCTCCAGGTAAACTCCAGGTATGTATGCTGGGAGGCAGTTGAACAGTCTCGGGCCCCTGACACTTATTGTATTGTCTCTTAACGTGCTAGTGACACCCCTGCTTTTTATTGGGGGGATGTTGCATCGTCTGCCAAGTCTTTTGCTTTCGTTGTGAGTGATTTTCGTGTGCAAGTTCGGTACTAGTCCCTCTAGGGCTAGTCCACATTGCTTAAAAATTTTGGGTCTACTGTATGAGAAGTTTTTTTTTAATAATGATACAATATGGTGTAATTTAATACAAAATAACAGTTAAAAATAAAAATTAAAAGGTAATTAAAGTATGATGTAGGGAAGCCGTTGCTGGTTGCCAAGGTGACCCCATAACAGTTCAAGCTTCAGGGACCGAAAACTGTAGGTCCGCCACTGACTGCAAAGTATGTCTTACTAACTACTAAATTACTCGATAATGAATATACAGAAATACTACCAAGAGTATCACTCCACACCTCTAATGAGAAGTGCTACCACGCACGTTGCTGCGCACCTCTGCTACCAAGCATGTGGCTACACACCTCTCATTATTGCTTTACTGACGAAAAACGTTAAACCCATAAGGGTGAATTATTATTATTATAATAAAAAAGAAGCGCTAAGCCACAAGGGCTATACAGCGCTTGTGCACACCTGTCGATGTTGGGAGTGTTGATGGTGGAGTTGCCATAGCATCCCAGGTCACCGATGCCCAGGTCGTCTGCCAGAAACACAAGAACATTGGGAGGACGTGGGTAGCTGTCAGCCACCCCACACGTCCACACCACCCACGCTGCCCCATACAACATTGTCAGCTTGCTCTTCATATTTATGACTCTCCTCTCCTGGTGTATCTCATCTGCAGAGATGATACAACACAAATATCCTGTAGAATAAGTCACAACATGACTAGAACAATTGACGGCTAATATGTAGTTTAGAAGACCCACGGGTAGGCCCCTAGCCTCTTATTTTCCCCCTATTTACTCAACACCTACTCTTCAATATAATACAGCACAATGCAATACAGTTCTGTATTTCAGAATCACTGTACACACTACATACAATAATCTTAAGGGCCATAGGATGCATACTATTTCCCAACTCCTCCATGGTCGACAGTCTTTTAGTCTTGCACTTGTACCAAACTGCGATACTCACTGGAGTTCCTAAACTAAATATTTACCTAATATACAACATACTCAACTCACATACTGAGGGGTCAGGAAGAGGTTTGGACCTAACAACGCAGTCTTGCAAAGAACTAGGCCTCAAGATCTCCGCTGAGAAATCTCTTGCAATGATGTTCAAGGGATCAGATCCTGCGAACAGATTACGTATTCAGGATATAGAATTTGAGTGGGCAGGCTCCTACCTATACTTAGGAATCTATAGTGATAAAAAACTGATCTTTCAGAACAGGCCGAGTATGCGGATCCCGAGCTCTACTCAGACTCAAAGCCATGAGAGCCATGACGAGGCACCCTGAAGGGGCGAGCAAAGTACCTCGCTTGTACTATATACAAGCTGTGCGCTCGCTTGTTGACTACGATGCACCGGCGTTGGCTCATCTCTTTCTGCAGAACAGCCAAAGGATGGAGGTCGTACTAAACCAGGCGATAAGAACTATGCTCGGGGCCTCCATCTGGCTGACAGAGTCAGATACAATATTTCCATCCTTACCCATCCTTCTTCCTTCCCCATCCTTCTTCCTTCCCCATCTTACCAAAGCTCTGGTCATTAGAACTAAAAAAGTCAGATACATAAAATCTGCAAGTTGCCAAGAGTCTCTACCGGTAGCAAGGTACCCCACTTAGAAAACGGATGTTGACAGCCATGACACAAGACTCAACTTTCTTCACTGACTACTTCTGGATTCATTCGTTTTCTACTGCTGGGAGGAAGCTGCTGCCTATACAACTACTCCCTGAGAAGAGTTGTGATCTTCCTGTTGCTCGGTCAAATTTCCTAAATTTGCTTGTAACAGATAAGTGAACTATAGATATGTAGATATAAATCCATATGTATTCCTGTTAACCTTTTGGGGCCTAGTTCCTAGGCCTTTTGTGTATCCATATGCTCTTGCGCTACCGTCCACAGGATGGATATGGGGTGCACAATAAACTAGCCACTTCGGTTTTACCTGGAGTTTACCTGGAGAGAGTTCCGGGGGTCAACGCCCCCGCGGCCCGGTCTGTGACCAGGCCTCCTGGTGGATCAGAGCCTGATCAACCAGGCTGTTACTGCTGGCTGCACGCAAACCAACGTACGAGCCACAGCCCGGCTGGTCAGGAACCGACTTTAGGTGCTTGTCCAGTGCCAGCTTGAAGACTGCCAGGGGTCTGTTGGTAATCCCCCTTATGTATGCTGGGAGGCAGTTGAACAGTCTCGGGCCCCTGACACTTATTGTATGGTCTCTTAACGTGCTAGTGACACCCCTGCTTTTCATTGGGGGGATGTTGCATCATCTGCCAAGTCTTTTGCTTTCGTAGTGAGTGATTTTCGTGTGCAAGTTCGGTACTAGTCCCTGTAGGATTTTCCACGTGTATATAATCATGTATCTCTCCCGCCTGCGTTCCAGGGAATACAGGTTTAGGAACCTCAAGCGCTCCCAGTAATTGAGGCGTTTTATCTCCGTTATGCGCGCCGTGAAGGTTCTCTGTACATTTTCTAGGTCAGCAATTTCACCTGCCTTGAAAGGTGCTGTTAGTGTGCAGCAATATTCCAGCCTAGATAGAACAAGTGACCTGAAGAGTGTCATCATGGGCTTGGCCTCCCTAGTTTTGAAGGTTCTCATTATCCATCCTGTCATTTTTCTAGCAGATGCGATTGATACAATGTTATGGTCCTTGAAGGTGAGATCCTCCGACATGATCACTCCCAGGTCTTTGACGTTGGTGTTTCGCTCTATTTTGTGGCCAGAATTTGTTTTGTACTCTGATGAAGATTTAATTTCCTCGTGTTTACCATATCTGAGTAATTGAAATTTCTCATCGTTGAACTTCATATTGTTTTCTGCAGCCCACTGAAAGATTTGGTTGATGTCTGCCTGGAGCCTTGCAGTGTCTGCAATGGAAGACACTGTCATGCAGATTCGGGTGTCATCTGCAAAGGAAGACACGGTGCTGTGGCTGACATCCTTGTCTATGTCGGATATGAGGATGAGGAACAAGATGGGAGCGAGATACTGTGCCTTGTGGAACAGAGCTTTTCACCGTAGCTACCTCGGACTTTACTCTGTTGACGACTACTCTCTGTGTTCTGTTAGTGAGGAAATTATAGATCCATCGACCGACTTTTTCTGTTATTCCTTTAGCACGCATTTTGTGCGCTATTACGCCATGGTCACACTTGTCGAAGGCTTTTGCAAAGTCTGTATATATTACATCTGCATTCTTTTTGTCTTCTAGTGCATCTAGGACCTTGTCGTAGTGATCCAATAGTTGAGACAGACAGGATCGACCTGTTCTAAACCCATGTTGCCCTGGGTTGTGTAACTGATGGGTTTCTAGATGGGTGGTGATCTTGCTTCTTAGGACCCTTTCAAAGATTTTTATGATATGGGATGTTAGTGCTATCGGTCTGTAGTTCTTTGCTGTTGCTTTACTGCCCCCTTTGTGGAGTGGGGCTATGTCTGTTGTTTTTAGTAACTGTGGGACGACCCCCGTGTCCATGCTCCCTCTCCATGGGATGGAAAAGGCTCGTGATAGGGGCTTCTTGCAGTTCTTGATGAACACGGAGTTCCATGAGTCTGGCCCTGGGGCAGAGTGCATGGGCATGTCATTTATCGCCTGTTCGAAGTCATTTGGCGTCAGGATAACATCGGATAGGCTTGTGTTAACCAAATTCTGTGGCTCTCTCTGTGGCAAAATCTAAAAAAAATCGGTATTATCCACCACCTCCCTGGCGCCCAGATCCGGCCGATGTTTGCGTCTAAGCGTCTCTGCAGTCAAGACACCCTGAGCTATCATGGTGAGACAAGCATGACACTGGCAGAGGAACGCACATATGCTGAATATTTCACAGATGGTTCTGTCGACCCTGACAAGAGAGCAGCAGCTGGCATGTACCACAATGGTCACACGCAAGGCTGACGACTCCCTGACCACTGCACGGTCCTTCAAGCTGAGCTGGTGGTGATTCAGCAGGCATTGACACATGCCCTGTGACATCGGCTTCGACCTGTCATACATGTTGACTCCACCTCTGCAATCAATGCTCTCTCCCATCCCCATAATTATTATTTTTTATAATTATAATCATGGGGAGCGCTAAACCCGTAGGATTATACAGCGCATGTGGGGGGATGGAAGGTATTCAGGTTCAATTCAGGGAACCGGAGCACAGATCCAATTCCCTAGATCAAGAGTCCCTCACCAACGTCAAGGAACCTCCCTTGAGGGGCTCCCATCCCCAACCACAGGACAATGTTCACCTTGTCACATCGATTCTGAGCATAATTACACCCTTAGAGGCTCAGGGTAACAGAGCCACACTGTACTGGATCCCCAGCCATGCTGGCATCCGGGGAAGTGAGGCGGCAGATGATGCGGCCAAGGCAGCCATAGATTATCCATATGTTGGGATTACCGTCCCCATCAGCCTACGCCAGACCAAACTGGTGGCCGCCAAAACAATGAAACTTATGAGGGAGGTCCTAGGTGGTACCCCATGTCAGCAGTGGTACTGAGCAGCGACTCAGGGAGAACCCCCCATATGATAGAAGCTGGTCCTGAGGCGCAGTGTACCCTATTTCCACAGTCAAGATATGGAGACAAGGAAGAGAGATTGCGCCCGCGCGCGGCTCCAGGTGGCGAGGCGTTGACCACCTCCACTGAGTTGAGGTATCGTGAGGGACACACGACTCTGGAGGACAGACACACACGCCAATCGTAGTTAACTACGAGGTGTGAGGCGTAGGGGCGAGACCTAATAATACATGCTAAAATCCTATCAGGTGACAAATACATCGCTCTGACTCTGAGACAACAACTGAGAGAGAGTGACACACTAATTCTTTCATAGACAGTAGCGAGAGAGCCGATACCTCACCACATCTACTGCGAGAATCATATAATACGACCTACCTATCGATATAATTGTTGATAATGCAAGAGACGCACATTACACACTCAATCGTTAAATTACACGATAGGCACAACGTATATCTCAGTATCGCGAGGTCCTTCTATTGATGTATATTGTGATCACCCTCCACACACACTCTAAGTAACAAGCACACAAGACAGCGCCCAATACTAAAAGCAAGAGTCCACGCACTATACGAGTGATTGGATATTAGGGGATGTAATTATTGGGGGGTGGATTGAGTGGGGCAGGGGGAATAAAATTATTACATAACAATCACTCACTTACCTCTGTTCAGTGGTGAGGGTGGTGACACTACTCAGAAGGCGAGAGAGTCGCACAACTGGTGGTGGTTTGGTTGGGGTTGAGATGGAAGTTGGTGTAGTTAGAATTTTGGGTAGGGGTTTTTTAAGGTTTATGAGAGTAGTCTTGGGGAGGTATGGGTAATGTATGAGGTGATGTGTAGGAGATTTATGAATGCTTCTGCGGTGTGGTGATGGACCACGATAGTGGGGTTTGATATTAAGTTGTGAGGTTTAATTATAATCATGTGAATGAAAGCGGGTAGTATAGGTTCAGGGAGTGAGAGTTAAGTGTAGTGTGATGTCTGGTTAAAGAGGTTTATTCCTCTTGACTGTGTTATCATCTCACATATCTATATTACTGGTGGTAGTTGTGATAAGGTTAGTGGATGTTATGTGTTATTATATAGAGATGTATTTACAAATTGATTAGTTTAATTGTTAGAATAGGTTTATTGGATTAATTTTT